TACGATGGAGACACCCTCTGCTTCATGGCCGGTGGGTTCAAGAAACTGAAGCAACTGGGGCTGGACAAGTTTGATGAGTTGAGATTCGTGGAAATACAGGAGGGGGCGATGCCATGCATCGAAAAGCTTAGCATTCAGCGGTGCAAGTCGTTGGAGAAGGTGCCACTGGGAATTGAGCATCTGAGTGAGTTGAGAGTGCTGGAGTTTTTTGACATGCCACATAAATTGCTGAAGACGATTTGTCCAGATGAAGAAGGTGAAGACTATTGGAGAGTTGCTCGCATTCCTGAAGTGTATTCAACTTACTGGAGAGGTGGGGGCTGGGAAGTTTATTCACTAGAGAGTTTCAGTGAAGGGGAAAATGCTCCTATGCTTAACACTGTCATCAACAGCTGGGAACTTCAGACTCGTTGGAAGTAGTTAATACGAAGTCGTTTCTTTAAGTCTAAATAATATTAAAAGTGTGAATAACGCGTGTGGATAATGTATATAATAATGACAGGTACACAACATTTTCTCACAATCTCGCCGTAGTAACTCGTCATTAGATAGCTCATAAATGAGTAAACAAGACTCCTACAAGTAGGTAATACCAATTTTATGAGTTGACCAATGATGAACTGTCATGTCAAAAGTTATGGAGAAGATTATGAAATTAGGATGTGAACCTAGCATTACTCTAAAAAATAAATGTATAGTTACTACATAAAATCTTGTGCATAGAATCTTTTCTTTATTTTGTGAATAAAAAAATAAATGTACATATTACACTAATTTAATGCGGATAAAGATTGATTCACAACCCAATCTTATAAACTTTCGTGCTCATAATTGATCAGTTCGCAAATGAATCGACATAACACATTTATGACCAAATGCGAGTTGTCACCTCAAGATTGTAAAAGAAAGTTTATGAGATAGAGTTATAAGTATAATGTTACTGGCGTTTAAAAAAAATGGTGTAATATTACCCCTTTAATGCATAGCTAATTGCATAATGTTGGTGCAAGTAAACATCTCTTCCAGTTTTATTGCTTTGAAGATAAATCTTTATGACAAGATTTATATGAAAATTAATTATCATATTTCGAAGATATCATTGGAGACACAACTAATAAATTACATTTACAGTTTTCAAAGCTCAATTAAAACAACAGTACAAGACTCGATTCATTAACATTGCACAGCTTTCTTTTCAAGTGTATAACAAAACGTACAATGCTTATTGCTACAGAAAAATGGATCATACAAACCAATTCAAATGAACCCTTTTAAACCTTGTCAACAGTAAAACTAAATCTGCATTTGTTGAGACATGCTAGGAGCATCACAAACAGAAGATGGAGCTATCAGCCAACTAGCAGATGAAAAGAAACAAACTAGTTGAATTTCCATACATATTCAGTGAAGCGAACAAATGATAAGGTGTAGTATCCATGATATCCTACCTATGATCCTAGTTGGGGCATTTCCGATGAGGGAAAAATGGTTGACGACAACAAGATATTGAGTAACCCATAATCATCACCATAGGCTATTTTAAATTTAAAGGATGACACATTCAAACAAAAATACCATCTCCGAATTTTTGCAACAAAAGCTGACACCAATCTGATTCTTGTTTTATCATCTCTCATTTATATGAAGGATCCGTCGGGTTAGAGTAGTCTTAGATTGAATTACATGAAATGTTCTGTGCTATCATCATAGCAATTACCACCACTACTTAACTCTTCCTACTCCAGTTGCATGCGACCACAAATATCTCTACTCGTATGAAGTGATGGTTGCAATATACACATACATAACCTCACATTTTTCTTGACAGGTAACTAAAATATTTCTTCTCCCTGCCTGGTTTTTGTCTTGGGCCAAGTAAATAAATGGATTGTAAAAGTAGGGTATTTAGAGGGCTACTTGAGACAACCTTGAAACAAAGGATAAACCTAACCAATTCAAAACCGATACATCCATTTTCCTTTCATATACAGTATTACTATATCCAGAAATGACACAGTTGTGGGGCAAATAATATACAAATAAAAATGTTAAACTACACACAATGAAACATGTAATCCTTAGCTATTAATAATGCAGATAACAATACACTTCTGGATCTAGATAGCACAAAAGAAATCTGAATCCATGCCAAAATTGAAGTTTAAATGTCAATTGTTAATCTAACAGAGACAAGGATAACAAAACATCTTATTGATCCAATTAAACAACACATCTATTTATGCTTAGTCAGACAATGTTAATGCTAAAAGGCAAGAATTAATGGATATGAGTTCAAAAAAGGAGGTCACACAGCAGGTCTCACATTAAAACTCAGATATGAACAACATAATATTTGGAAGAAACAGAGACAGAAATATTTTCAAGAGTGGTCCCCAGTTAGACCAGCGTCCACCCTTACGAAATCATTTAGACCATGTCAGATCCATTTTTTGGATACTATGGAGAGGAAGAGAGAGAGAGACAGAGACAGAGACAGTGATAGAGACAGAGACAAAGAGAGAGAGACAGACAGACAGACAGAGAAAACTAGAAGAAAATATGATTTCATAAGACAGTCAAATAAGACCGGTAAATCTAAACAGAACTTCGAAGATGAGCATGCACTCATGAAACGGATTAAAGAATGTATAATATGTGTGTAAACAAGATATAAGTGATACCTTTCTTCAGCTTTCCTTTCAAAAGTCAAAAGTTGCTTCAAGAACACATGTAGTATATGTAGAGATCTACTAACAATGACAACCTGTAAAAGAAAACAATTCCTCAGCAAAAGACAAGACATATAATTTGCGGAGAAGTTAATAACAAAATCATACAACACAAACTCACATACAGGAATGAATAACTTTCAATTAATTACAAGGGATTATCTTAAGTACCTTTATAAAACTCATCTTCATAATTTGCACAGCATATAGTGAATGCAAAATCAGAGTTCTCACGAAGGAAATGTGACCCCTTGTGCTATGTTAATATCATATAAAATCAGGGAGGAAAGTAGGAAAAGAAAGAAAGAACCGAAGAAGATAATAATTGATTTTCAGAAGCTGATAATCATATACATTCCAGATATTAAGTTTCACTCATATGGAGACTACAAATGGCATCTCTTGCAAGAGTCAAATATCAAGCTCAATCGCTTAAAATTAGTTGTTGGTTCATGCTTTGAAAGTGTGATCAACACTCTTAAAGCAACAACTAAGGAATCTATGCCATAACTAATGGTCTAGCCATCCCCTTCCCAACCCTAAGAATATTGAGAGCAATATTAGATTCTTAAGTACTTTACACAAAAATTTCAGGAAAAAGATATATACTCTAAACTTACATTTTTGACAGAGCAGAGATCAAGCAGAGGTCCCAGCAAAGCCTCCAACCTTATCATTCCACTAGTGATCTGAAATATAGAGATGAAAGAAACAAAAAGGAAACCAAATCAACCACTAATTCTAAAATCAGTTACCAAGCCAGCAAGTACAATCTAGATTAGGAACATTTTACAGTCCCCAGAAAATACTTTTGAGGGAAAAAAAAATGAATCTAACATTTACTTTCGCAAGCAAAATAAGTCATTAGAAAGTTTCAGAAGCAAATCTTGAGGCTTAACAATAATCTACTTCATTACTGTGCCTCTGAGTTGTAACTGTCATAAGTCTAGAGTCCATGACAAAGATGCCCGACCACAAAAAACTTAACCCAGCAGGGGTAGTAGGCATATTAACATACTTCAGATAAGATTATAGAGAAGTACTAGCAGAATGGGAATCATCAACAACATTGAAAAATGGCCCCGACTTGTCCTTGATTCAGCAGCAAGATTGATCTTGAACATGCATCAATCTGCTCTTGGGTAGCCTCATGGTTATAGAAAATTTTCCTAAATCCTTGGAAGTAGAAGTTTCCAGATTTTACATGCTTTGTATTGTCAAGTTTGCTGATTACTTCTTTTTTTTTTTTTACCCTACTGTATTGTTTGTATACGTGTACTTATTCAAGTAACACATTACCTTGGAATTATTGAAGTTAATGGAGAAGAAAAGGAAATAGCACAACTGATGATGTAGGTGATAACCTGCTAGAAATGGGACAAAAATCCGGCAGAAGGTTCAAGTTGTATTTTTGAGCCCAAATTGCTGTTTTGTTTTGTTAGGCTGCAGTAGTTGGTGCAGCAGACTTTAAGGCAATCAAGTTAATCTTATTTGACATGTTTGTTGAGATTATGACTTGATTTGGTATTTGCATTGATTGAATTTCAAATGTATTATTTTTTATTGTAATGCAGTAGGTAAAACAGTGTATCACTTGTATAAAAGTTTCTACTCAATGAATGAAATACAGAGAGTGAAAAATACTCAGTTGTTGCCGTCTCATTCCCTTCCAAATTCTCTTATTTCACTCTGATTATCTCTTCTTTTGAACCAACAAATGGTATCAGAGCTCTACTGATCTTAAGGGCCTGATAAATTCATCTCTTCTCATTCACGTTCTCAACTCTTGTTATGCAGAAACCAATTTTAAGTTCCACACAACCTGACTCAATGGCACAACACACAACCTCCTTAACTCCTCCAACCTTCAATGGGGATCAATATCACATTTGGGCTGTCAAAATGAAAACATTCTTGAGAGGACAAGGATTATGGCAGTATGTTGAAGAGGATAAACAACCACCTGTGCTGGGGCCAAACCCCGCCATGAACCAGATCATATTGCACGATGAAGAAGCCACCAAATCACCTAGAGCCTTGTCTCATATCTATGCAGCAGTGACTGAGCAAGTGTTCACTAGAATCATGGCAAATGAGACAGCCAAGGAAGCATGAGATAAACTCAAAGAGGAGTTCGGTGGCAGTGATACAACAAAGAGTATACAGGTGTTGAACTTGAGGAAGGAGTTTGAAATGCTAAAAATGTAGGAGTCTGAAACGGTAAAGGAATATATGGATAGGTTGATGAATGTAGTGAACAAAATCAAATTAATGGGAGAGGAGATGATAGATAAAAGGATAGTGGAAAAGGTTCTTGTCAGCCTACCTGAAAGGTTTGATTCTAAGATATCCTCACTTGAGGATTCTAAGGATTTGACACAAATCACTCTCACTGATTTAGTAAATGCCTTGCAAGCGCAAGAACAAAGGAGATTGTTGAGGCAAGAGGACTTTAGTGAGGGTGCAATGGTGGCTGGATTCAAAGGCAAACAAGGCCAAGGTGGAAGCAAAAGGCCTGCGAGAGAAAAGAAAGGAAAAGAGGGGATGACAAACCAGTGGAACAAACCGACTGGAGTGAGAGAGTTTCCACCATGTGCTCATTGCCAGAAGAAGGGGCATGGTGAAAAAAAGTGCTGGTTTAGGCCTAATATACAATGTAGAGAATGCAAACAATATGGACACATTGAAAAGGTGTGCAAAAACAAACCAACTCAGTCAATGTAGCAAGCACAGATTGTGGAGGACCAGCAGCCAAACTTAGATCCAGAGCAACTGTTCGTGGCTTCATGCTTTGCAATTCAAGCTCACAATGATGATTGGCTGATAGACAGTGGGTGCACCAATCACATGACAACAAACCTGGAGGACTTTGTGAATTTGGACAAGTCTTACCATTCCAAAGTCAAGGTTGGAAATATGGAATTTGTGGTTGTGAAAAGGAGAGGAAATATTGTTGTGCAATCAAAAACAAGTATCAAACTCATTCCCAATGTCTTGTATATGCCTAATATAAGCCATAATCTATTGAGTGTTGGACAAATGATTGAGAAGAAGTATGCCCTACACTTCCAGGATCAGTTTTGCACAATCCTGGACAGTGAAGGCAATGAGTTGATGAGAGTTAAGATGATGGAAAAAGCTTCCCTATTAGGCTGAAAAAACAAGAACCAGAAGCATATGTTGTTAATGTGGATGAGTCTAAGTTGTGGCATAAGAGATTAGGCCATTTCAATTACCATAGCCTTAGGGAAATTCAGACCAAAGAATTGGTCTGTGATCTGCCCGAAATTGCAGAAACCAAAACCATTTGTGTCACCTGTCAACTAGGGAAGATGAGTAGATTACCTTTCCCTATAAACAAAGGCTATAGAGCTAGTGAGAGGCTGCAGCTTATCCATACGGATGTGTGTGGACCTATGCAAACACCATCCCTAAATGGAAGCAAATATTTTATCCTTTAATTTCATTGATGATTATTCCCGGATGTACTAGGCTTATTTTTTGAAACTGAAGAGTGAAGTTGCAGTGGTGTCTGAGAGGTTTAAATTGCAAGTTGAAAAACAATCAGGTCTAAGTATTAAGGCTATCAGACATGATAATGGGAGTGAGTATACCTCCAACTAATTTGAGAACATCTGCAGGGAAGCTGGAATTGTTCATCAGTTCAGTTGTCCCTATACTCTACAGCAAAATGGAATCAATAAGAGGAAAAATAGGACTGTCATGGAGATGGCCAGGTGCTTGGTTGCAGAGAAGAAACTACCCAAATCCTTTTGGGCAGAAGCTGTAAATACAGGGGTCTATTTACTTAATAGACTCCCTACTAAAGCCTTAACCAATCAAATACCCTATAAAGCCTAGTATGGAATAAGCCTTCGATTAGAAACCTGAAAATCTTTGGGAGTGTGTGTTATGCTCTCATTCCAGCAACCAAAAGAAGTAAGCTAGATGAGAAGGCAATGACAGGAATTTTTATAGGGTACAGTGAGCAGTCCAAGGCCTATAGAATTTATGATCCAGCAACCAGGAAAATACACATCACAAGGGATGTAAAGGTGGATGAAAAAAGGACTTAAAATTGGATGAAAAATGAAGCTGAAGAAGACAAAAGAGAGCAGATTACAGACACAACAATAGGCAGATTTGATGATCCAGCAGAGGCAGATTTGGATGATGATTTTCCAATCAGGGGTACAAGATCTCTGGCAGAGGTTTATGAGAGTGTAATGCAGTCATGCTTAAGCCTGCAAACTTTAGGGAGGTTGCTAAGTCAGAGGTCTGGAGGAATGCAATGGAGGAGGAGATAAAAATGATTGAAAAGAAAGGCACATGGAAGTTAGTTGACAGACCAATAACCAGAAGAGTGATTCAAGTAAAATGGATCTATAAAAAGAAGCCGAGACCTGATGGATCAATGTACAAACATAAGGCAAGATTAGTGGTTAAAGGTTTTGCTCAACAATTTGGTGTGGATTTTTCAGATACCTTTGCACCCATGACGAGGCATGACACTATAAGGCTTCTCCTTGCCTTGGCAGCCAAATTTGAGTGGAGAATCTACCAATTAGATGTCAAATCTGCATTCCTAAATGGTTGGCTCAATGAGGAAATTTATGTGGAGCAACCGGAGGGATATGAAGTGGAAGGGTAGGAGGATAAGGTGTACTTGCTGAGAAAGGCCCTATATGGCCTGAAATAGGCTCCTAGAGCCTAGTACAGCTAAATTAATGAGTATTTGATCAGCTTGGATATGCAAGGAGTGCTAATGAGCACACTTTATATGTGAGGAGGCTAGAAGATGAATTCACCATAGTTTCATTGTATGTTGATGATTTACTCATCATGGGGAGCAACTCAACTCAACTTGTTGATTTCAAAACAGCCATTCACAATGAATTTGAGATGAATGACCTTGGGGAAATAAATGTCCTACTTTCTTAGGATGGAAATACACCAAAGTCACCATGGCATATTTGTTAATCAAAGGAGGTTTGCCAATGAAATTCTGCATAAATTCAATATGGACAGATGCAAATCAGTGGACACTCCACTAGTTATGAATTTGAAGTTGAGCAAGGATGATGGGGCTGACAAGGTTGATGAAAAAATGTATAGAAGCATCATTGGCTGTCTTCTGAACTTGACTACCACTAGACCAGATTTAATGTTTGCAACCAATGTTCTCTCTAGGTTCATGACCAACCTGAGTGAAATCCATCTCAAGGCAGCCAAGAGGGTGCTGAGTTATGTTAAAGGAAGTGTTGAGCTTCGAATATGGTTCAAGAAGGTTGAAAACCTGCAGCTTGTTGGTTACTCAGATAGTTATTGGGCTGGATGCATTGATGATATGAGGAGTACATCAGTTTATGTTTTCTTCTTGAATTCAGGGGCCATATGCTGGCATTCCAAGAAGCAAGACACCACAGCTCAGTCCACGGCAGAAGCAAAATACATTTCTGCTGCTGGCGCAGTTAACCAGGTTATATGGCTGAGGAAGATCATGCAGGATTTGAGGGAAATTCAGGAAGAACCTACTGTGATCTATTGTGACAATCAGTCAGCAGTTGCAATTGCAAAGAATCCAATCTTACATGGCAGAACAAAGCACATCAAAATCAAATTCCATGCTGTGAGAGAAGCTGAGAGCAATGCTGAAGTGAGATTAGTCCATTGCAGGGGTGAAGATCAACTTGCAGATATTATGACCAAGGGTCTACCTAAAACCAAGTTTGAGAGTTTGAGACTTAGACTTGGTGTTTCCAGCAAGCTTATCAAGGAAGAGTGATGATGTAGGTGATAACCTGCTGGAAATGCGACAAAAATCCGGCAGAAGGTTCAAGTTGTATTTTTGGAGCCCAAATTGTTGTTTTGTTTTGTTAGGCTGCAGTAGTTGGTGCAGCAGATTTTAAGGTAATCAAGTTAATCTTATTTGACATGTTTGTTGAGATTAAGACTTGATTTGGTATTTGCATTGGTTGAATTTCAAATGTATTATTTTTTATTGTAATGCAGTAGGTAAAACAGTGTATCACTTGTATAAAAGTTTCTGCCCAATGAATGAAATACAGGGAGTGAAAAGCACTCAGTTGTTGCCGTCTCATTCCCTTCCAAATTCTCTCATTTCACTCTGATTATCTCTTCTTCTGAACCAACAACAACAACTGTTTCATTATTTTTTATTCAAAATGATTATTGAAAATTAAGAATTAATAATCCATTGGCTCTTATATATTCCGTAGAATGGAAACTAGTCATCTTTGCTTGTCATAGTATTCAAAAATCAAAATTTAATTATTTGAGATCAAAGTCAAGTCAAGAATATGAACAATTTTTGTTTCTTCGAGCCGGAGCACAGCATTCACATTAGTTAAAAAAAATTAAAAAAAAAAAAAAAGAATACTTTAATAATCTTGTGAAATACGGTGAAGTTAAATAAATAATGTTAAAAGAGTTTTCCAAATGCATAAATTTATACGCTTGATATTTTTCCAACCATCTTTATCAATTATAGTCATCCATCGTTAAGCTTTATGCGATGTCAAAGTGCAAGCCCAGATGACTGACTGTACATTCACACTGCATTACCATTTAAACTTGTCTGCTATCCTCTGTCATCTTGTTAATTTTCTATCTCGATAAATGAAGTTTAATATTAATCAACATTTGAACGATCTTGGTCTGTTGGAATAGTTACAAAAACTTGGAATTGTTTATTGCAAGACGATGAAATTCGGCGGAGAAGGTTGTCTCTGTTACTTGTATCAAGCTTTCTGTTCAGGACTTCCTTCAATAGCTCTCAGCTACTTGCTCTGACACCTTTCTTTTTTGAGTTGTCACGAACCCTTTAACTATCTACAATTAATCAATCTCGTATGCTCAATTAGGTTATCCTTAGGTAGGGTGTTATCGAGCCGAGTTGAGCCGAGTTTTCGGCTTAACGAGCTTGGCTCGTGAAAGAGAAAGATTTAACGAGCCGAGTACGAGCCATAAATTATATGACTCGGCTCGCCTCGTCAATGGTTTTGAACCATTTCGAGCCAGCTCGCGAGCAACTGCAAATAATTCAATTTTTTTTAAAGAAAAAAAATTTGCTAGGCAGCAGTGCGCATCTGATTGTCTGAATTGTCAAACTGATGTATTTCACTTTTCATTAATTTGCTGGGCAGAGGAAGAATTACTAATGTCTGTTCGTTTATTTTGTCAAACTAATTTATTTTTGTCAAACTGATTCATTTATTTTTCGCCATCCTTAAACTAAATTCTAAATTCTAAATTTTCACTTTTCATTTATTTATTTTTTTTAATTTGCTTGGCAGCACGCAAGTTTGAATCTGATTGTCTGAATGTCTTCTCATGTCCTTATACATCACCCTACAATTAAACCTACTTAAAATCAACATTAAATGAAATGCTATTGCTATTAACAATTTATCATTCAACATACTGTATGTACCACAAATTAAGTTAAGTGAACTAAATATTTTTTGTTTAGTTCACTTGACTTAATTAAGTTTTCATCGAAACAAAATGGGGGGTTATCATAACTATACATCAAGTGACATCCCCATCCATCAAAAAATATATATAACAGCTAAAAATAATTGATTGTATGTCCATTGTAGCCCCACTCCTCCTACAAACAAATTAATGCGAAACACATTAAGTACAATTGTCATTTTATATAAACCGTAAAGATGAAAATACAAACCTGAACACAAAAGTAATAAATATAGACCTGTAGAATCCTACTGCCATGGCCAATAACTCACGAGTGAATCAACCAATCTGCTGACTCCTATCACCTGACAGAACAAGAAGCTGAATCTCCAAGTGATCCTCATCCTCCTCTTTCTAAAATGAAAAAGAGATAAAAATAATTTTTTTGTTAGAATAAAGTTATTTTAAATATTGAATTAAACAAAACATGTAAGCAATGGAACTTACTTTGCACCCTTTCTTCACTCCATTCAAAGTGCGACACCAGTCACATCCACATAACAAGATCTCCACCGTAGTTGGTGACAAAGAAGCTCGGTAACTATCAATAACCCTGCTCCCAGAACTGAATGCAGACTCTGAAGCAACTGTAGTGATCGAGATGGCTAGTATCTCTCGAGCTATCGTAGACAATTTAGGAAACTTAGTTGAATTTGCCT